TGACAGTGGAGTTTGAAGAAAATGCCAAGAGAGAAGAAGTGGCCTGGAGGCAAAGATCTAGGGCCCTATGGCTCAAAGAAGGGGACAGGAACTCAAAGTTCTTCCATAGAACTGCTAACTGCCATAAAAGATATAACAATATTGACAAACTGATCATCAATGGCTCCAGTGTGATTGAACCAGCTGAGATCAGAGATGAAGTTATTACTTTCTACCAAAAACTATACACTGAGACAGAAGTGTGGAGACCCAAGCTCAATCCTAGAGTTCAATCTAGGATCAGTGAAGTAGACAATGCAGCTCTGCAAGGCCAATTTGAAGAACAGGAGATTAAAAATTGTGTGTTTTCATGTGCAGGGGATAAGGCACCAGGCCCTGATGGTTTCACAATGGCTTTCTTCAAACAATGTTGGGAAGAGGTAAAACAGGAAGTGGTGGCTGCCATTCAGAATTTTCATGATCAGAGCTACTTCGAAAAAAGTTTCAATGCCACTTTCATAGCCTTGATTCCCAAAAAGGTGGGTGCAACTGAATTGAAAGATTTCAGGCCAATCAGCTTGATTGGAAGTATCTACAAAATCATTTCAAAGGTTTTAACAGAGAGACTCAAGAAAGTTATGCCAAAGCTAGTAGATGAGCAACAAATGGCATTCATAAAGGGCAGGCAAATCATGGATGCAATCTTGGTGGCTAATGAATGTGTGGACATGAGATACAGATCCAAAGTTCCCGGAATTCTATGCAAGCTAGATATAGAAAAAGCTTATGATCACTTAAATTGGGAACATATGTGGACAACATTAAGGATGATGGGTTTTGGCAACACCTGGATAAAATGGATGAGATTCTGTATGACTACAGTGAAGTTCTCAGTTTTGATCAACGGCTCCCCAACTGGTTTCTTTCCTTCCGAGAGAGGATTGAGACAAGGAGACCCCCTATCTCCTTTTCTCTTCATCTTGGCCATGGAAGGTTTAAGTGATATGCTGAAGAGTGCTCAGGTGAACAATAGAATAAGGGGTTTCATTGTGAATGAAGAAAACTCTCTGGGAAGTTCTATATCCCATTTACAATATGCTGATGATACTTTGGTATTTTGTGATGCAGAGAAGGAACAACTAAAGCATCTAAGGGTTATCTTCATATTGTTTGAAGCAGTTTCTGGACTTCATATAAATTGGGGAAAGAGTTTTATCTACCCTGTGAATGAAGTCCCAGAGATTAGTACTTTGGCAGATATTTTAGGTGGTAAGATAGGGGAACTTCCCACCACCTATCTCGGAATGCCTCTGGGAGCTAAGAGTAAGTCCATGAACATATGGAACTCTGTGGTGGAAAAGTGTGAAAAGAAGCTAGTTAACTGGAGAAGTCAATATTTATCTTTGGGTGGCAGAGTCACCCTTATCAATAGTGTTCTTGATGCCATGCCAACTTACATGATGTCCCTTTTTCCAATTCATGGAAAGATCATCAAAAAGTTGGATGCTATCAGAAGAAACTTTCTTTGGCAAGGTAATGGTGAAGGGGGGAAGAAGCATCACTTGATCAAGTGGGAGATTGCTATAACCAACAAAAAAGAAGGAGGTCTAGGAATAAAGAACTTGAAAGCACAAAACAAGAGTCTTCTGTTAAAATGGCTATGGAGACTGGCAGCAGATGAGCAGGGCCTGTGGAAGGACATCATCATTGCAAGATATGGTAGGGAAGGACCATGGACTACTCAGGAAGTTAAAATTCCTTATGAAATGGGACTATGGAGAACTATCAGAAATCAATGGCCAAAAATGTGGGGTAATACTGTGATCAAAGTGGGCAATGGCAGAAAGACCTTGTTCTGGAATGATGTATGGGTGGGGCAAACACCTTTAAGGCAACAGTTTCCGGACATTTATAATCTTAATCAACAGAAGCTAGCTACAATTTCACAGATCAAAAATGCACAAGGCTGGAATCTGTCCTTCAGAAGATTCCTCAATGACTGGGAAGTGGAGAGAATGATCCAATTCTACAATACTTTGGAACAAGCTAAGAGCCTTAATTTTGAGGAAGATAGATTGTTGTGGAAGATGGATAAAGATGGCAAGTTCAAGGTGAAATCAGCATACAAGCTACTGGATATCTCAACTGAAACTAAGGAAGGTTGGCCATGGAAGATGATCTGGAAGGGGAAGATACCTCATAAGGTGGCTTGTTTCACCTGGCTAGTTGCACATCAAGCAGTTCTGACTCAGGACAACCTTATGAAAAGGGGAAGGCAGTTATGCTCCAGATGTTTTTTTTGTGAAGCTGAAACAGAGACAGTAAACCATCTTTTTTTACACTGTAAAGTGACTGAAAAATTATGGCAATGGTTCATTAATCTCAGGGGTATTAGATGGGCCATGCCAAGACATACTGTAGAAGCTCTAGCATGTTGGAATAGGGATGGAAATCAATCAGGACACAAGGAGAGATGGAAGATTGTCCCTGCATGCATCTGGTGGACAATTTGGAAGGAGAGAAATCAGAGATGTTTTGAGAACAAGAGCATTTCCTTCCAAAGTATGAAGATGAACTGTCTAGCAACATTCTACTTTTGGTGTATTCAATCTGTACCTAAGGATATAGGGGACATCACTCTGTTTTTAGATAGTCTATAATGGATATAGGTGATAGATTTGTTTTGGATGTTCCTTCATATTTTTGATGTAACTACTTAGGAGCACACTATTGGTGTACTTCCTTCTGTTTATAATACCAGTTAACTTTCTCAAAAAAACTCAAGGCTCTACCTAGTCATCTCTATAAAGTTTCATTCTTTACTTACTTTTACTTATACTTATTAAGGTCAGCCTTTGATTACACCTTAACCAGCTACCTAGTTGTCTCTACAAAGTTAGAAGCTTTACTTCTACGAATGTAAATCTTTAAGAACAAAATCAAAGGCCAAACCTTAATTTCATAAAAGAACTGCTGATAAAGATCAAGTTTTTCTCTAACAGAACACTTCCACGGGCAAGAAACAGAAGAATAAATTTGCAAAATTATATATAAGCAAAAAGTATCAGGAACAAGACCTTCCACAAGCCCTGCAAAGGCCTGGCTGGCGTAGGTGAACAATTCACTATTTTCACATAATTTTCAGGCTCCCACTTCCTTCTTCCCTGCCTTTCCCTCTCCCTCCTTCTCTGCCTCCTCGCCGACCCATTTCCACCAGGACTTGTCTTGTTAGCAAAATATTGATAAATATCAGACATCAACCTGTCCGGCAAACTCCCAGGGGACACACATAAATCCTCGTACTCCTCTTCCTTCATATTCCCTGAGCTTGAAACTTTCTTAAACCCTCTATTCTGTGGAGAATTACACGAGTACCCAAATGCAGTACCATTTTCTTCCACAACAACATGAGTTCTTCCCACGAAATTCACATTCACTGGAACCAATTCACTCTCCACAACACCCAAATCATCTAAATTCATGACATTTTCCGATAACTCCACCTTCCCCACAGGGTCAAGATAATTAACAATTTCACCCTTAGAGGTAATACCCATCCATAAAAATGGCAACTTTATCACTTCATAAGTACCAGTTCTCGAGGGTTTCACCCTCGAACCAGCTATATGAAACGGACCCCACTCAAAAAAGATCAAAGGGGAATCAGATCCAGCACCACTCCGGCGCCAAAACCCAATGAGATTCTCATACTCCAAAAGAGTATTGTAAAGAAGCTTGTACGAGATCTTACCGTTACCCCATTTGTTAATCTGGGTTTTGGATCCCCATTTGCGGTTACACATGGAAAACCAGAGTCTTGGGTCATCACGGCAGAGAGAAACGAAGCGTTTTGAAGTACAGGCGAAATTGGAGATATCTGATGGAGTGAGGAATGAGAGGATACAAAGCTGCACATCTTCTGGGAAATCAGTGAATGATAAAGAAATGGTGTGAATTTCATCTGGTTTTGCCATTTTTGTTCGAATTTGGTACTTGGATTTTCTTTGAAATTGGTGATTTGGGGGTTTTCTTGATGAGAATAGTCTTGGTTGAGAGAAGATTCAGATGATTAAAAAAAGGAGAAGATTTTGATGATGGAATTATTCTATTTGGGAAATGGGATTATTCTCTTCTGAATGTGTGGATTCAGCTTTGAAGGAAACTTGCACGGAAAAAATGAGTAGTAAATTCAGTTGGATTTTTTCATTTTTTTACACAGGTTACCAACTACATTAAGTTTTCAATTTTAGATATTACCTCAATTTTTTTAAAATATTATTTTTGAATAGTATAAGGGAAAAAACTCAAATATGCCATTGAATTGGAGTAAACACTCATTCATGTTATTCGTTAAAAGTTCTGTTTATCTATGTCGTTTTCGTTTGAAAAAAATGACTCATCCATTTTCGTTAATACATAATGACATGAATGAGTTTCTCAAACGGAAATGACATAAATGAGCCAAACTTTTATCAAAGTTCAATGACATATTTGAGTATTTATATATGAGATAAACCCAATTTTTTGACTTGATTTTTTAAGTTTTAAATATTTCAACTAATGCAAAAAATAATAACTTGATAATGTAATTATGATATCTCACTTTACTTTTACATCTCACGTAGATATTGAAGAATAAAGTCTTGATTCAATTGTGCGAGATTTCGTAAATATTTTTTTTCTTTTATAAAAAAATTAATTAAAGAAGGAAATTATAAGATGGAGGAATCAAACCTATTGTATATTCGTATATGAGATACATAAAATATATATTTTATGTTTGGATAGGAAATGTAATTATTTTGATCGATTGGCTAAATAAATAACGTTGCTCTTCTTTTTAAATTGAAAGATTGCACGACATATTTATTTAACTTTCTCATAATTTGTTACATCTATCATGTTTGTGACCCTTTTTTTGTGGTGGTAAGCTTAACACAAATATTACCAAGAAAAATATTTCCATAACATTTTTTCAAATAAATGGTTGTCCTTCAAGTTACATTACTTGAAAAGTCTTATCAGGTATCAATGGCACTCGTCTTGGACCTCCTGAAGTCTTTGCTCCTGTGAGATTGTTCGCCTGATAATGATTTACTACCATCCGAAGGATCTCTCATTTGTCGCGGTCTCAAAGATGATTTTCCAGAGCTCTTATGATGATCAACAACCTCAAACATCTGATTCAATGTATCTTCTATGTATTCCGGTGAAGGATAAGACTTGACATGTAAAGAAGACGCGAAATTGTTCAAGAATTCGGTATATGCAGGCACAACAAGCTTCATTGTAGCTTCTCTCATTTGCTCTCTCAAGTCTGCATCAGGGATGTGATAAAAGCTTTTATGTCTTTGAGTAATGTCGTCAAATCCTTTAGTGAACGCATCCATTTTCCCTCGTATCATAGCAGTAAGTCCGTCTTTGTCAACTCTTTTAAGTTCTTCTTTGTCCAACATTCTCACTAGAGGACTCCAAGCTTGTTTTTGATATGAATAAGCTGATTCTTCAGCCACAATTTTGTATGTCTTCTTCATATACTGATCTCCTATGAGTTTTCCGAGTTCTGTACTTCTAGTCCTCATGTAAATGTACCAATATGTGTTCATGACAAACACGTGAGGCAATACTTTGTCTTTGTACCTCAATTTCTTAGATTCAACATTCCTCCGTATGGCATCCACAATGTTGAACATGGCGTCTTTGAGCAAGTTTTCATCTGTTTCGGGGGTTGAAAGTACTCCAGCTTTCCATATTTGTTCAGTCCTGAGGACTCTGATCATTGTCGCGCTATATGCATCTGTTAGAAGGTATTTTAGATAGTTAATTGCATAACGAACAAGTTTTGGAACCGAACCATCTTGAGGTGGAAGAACATCCTGATTAGCCTCAATTTGAAGGCCAAGCTCAAAGAAAACTTTGGTAGAGGAATGTACAAGCAGTTTCTCCAGTTCTCTAAATCGCGAACAGATATCAGCACCAGCTTCACCAGCAAAAATCTCTGAGAACTCGGGCTTTAACTTTTCTAGTGATTCGAACATGTCTAGCAGTTTAAACAGCTTTTGAGGTTCTTTCTTGCTTCGTGCAACCCCTTCCCCGAATCTAAAGAAGACAGCCATTATCTTGTCTGCTATCTTGACGAAACACTCAGGCCATATTACTCCATCCATTATTGTGCCTAAGACTTGGCAGCAGAGTTTCTTTTCCGATACAAACACATTCTTGATAGCAAGTTCAAAGTGTTGGATCCAAAGGGATATCGCGGTCTCTAGGCACGCCCATTCCATCTCATCAATTTCTTCCAGACTGTATGTTTTTAGGTACTCCGGGTTCAGTCTCATCAATGCTTTGGCTGCTCTTTTATATCTTACCTATGGGATGAAGCAGAATACCATAATCATTATTAGTAGCCATACATTAAATCTTAAACCATTGAGCAAACTCCAAAACTGTTGGAATGAAATAATACTCCCTCCGTCCCAGTGGCAGATTCCGGAATCACCATAATTAATCAACATAAATGAAGCTTAATCGCGTCTAATTAATGTCATCTAATGAATAAGATATATGTTACTAGAAGTTTTTAACTGTGATTCAACGCCTATATTTAGTCAAAAGCCAGTGTTGAAGACATAATTAAGTAAATAATTAAACATATTTTCTCACTAACAGATTAAACTTTTAGCTTTTAGATGAAATGATCACATCATTTAATATGTTGGATAACACTAACATCCAGCCTATGGTAAGGCCCACGAGGGGGCTGGGGTGGCCTAGGTCAGAGTCATGATTGAACATGGTGCTTGCCTGGTGGGCATAGTCTTGCTATCAGTTAGAACTTTTGGCATGATGATAAACGTTTGATCCTAACAACATATAAACGTTTACAGTCATGGATTCATATACCTGTTGTATAAAATCAAGGAGAAAGTTGTTACCTTCACAAAGATATCAATACATATATCAAGACAGTCATTTGCAGCCAATGTCTCAGAGATTCTTGTAAGCACTTCAACTTCTAATTCACTTCCCAAATCTGTAGACACCGTATCTGCTGCAGCAACAACATCATCGTGATCATCATCATCATCGCGATCACTTTTTGCCTCAAAAAAATTCCTATGCCTCATTTTATTCAACAAACTCTCATATTCATCTTGCAAATTCAACAAAGCATCATCAAGCAGTCCATCAAATCTCATAGCATCAACTTCAGTTTCACAAAGAGCTTTAAGTGTAATCAAAGTCTCTTTCAATCGATGCGTCCTGAATTGATCAGTTGCTTTAGTCCTGCTTAAAAACTCGACAACTTCTTGCAACTTCTGAATAGCTGGTTCACACTCTCTACTAATTGAACTAATCGCCTCATTCAAATCATCCACCATGTCAACATACTTGATCAACTTCTCCATCCTCTTGTTAAACGATTTCTCGTTAGCTAATTTAGAAGAAAGTTCAAGAAGCTTACGCTGGAGGGATTCAGAAAGTTTGAAACTTTCAAGAAGTGAAAGAGCTGGAGAAATTGCTCGGTTGATCTTCGTATCGAGTGCCTTATTAGCAATGGAAAGTGATTGTAATGGAGCTATTCTTCTTGAAGCAATGGATAGATTTTCTTGCATTACATTAAATTTATCTTCTATTTCAGATAAACTTGTTTCGACATTGAATGAGAGTTGAAGAAGGTTGTTGAGATCAGAACAAGTTTGTTTAAGCTTGGAAATAATTTGATCATCTTGTTTTAGCTCCTCCATTGACATTTTTTTTTTCAGTGATTGATGATGATTCTTGATTTGTGGGGTGTAATTAATATTTCATATAAAACAATGAGGGTCGTTTGTAGCTGGATAAGAAATAAGTTATTCGTAGAATCAAATTTCTTATAACTTATACGACATTTTGATTACTAATTTATGCAAGAAAGAAAGTGGAATAACTAATACAATATATATATATATATAACTAATATTTGCATAGATTCCGTCGTAACTAATCCAGCTACCAAACGAGCCCGAGGGTATCAAAATGGTGGCAAAAAGAGGAAGAAGACAGGAGAGAAATTACCGAGGACTAAGTCTCGATGAGAACGAAAGAACAAATGGCAAATACATATAACAAAAGCGACACAATTGACATTCCTAATTGATTTTGCCGTCTTATCATATTATATGTCTTTGCTTGTCGGAAGTGAAAACCTTTGATGACTTTTACCTTTTCATTTTTCTTCTTTACTCTGTCCGTTTCAAAATAAGTGTCATTTTAGTTTATTTCACGCTCATTAAAAAATTAAGAAGAAATAAGTTTTTACTAATAAAAGAGTGTAGTTGGAAATAATTGTTGGCTTTGTCTTGAATTTCTAAAATGACACTTATTTTAGAACGGAAAAAGTAATACTTAAACAATGGTGACCAAAATCAGTTTGTGTGTTTCAATTGTTTCCATAGGCGTCTCTTACCATTTCTTTACTAGCAGAGATTATCATTTAAATGAATTTTGACCCTGAAATATTAATTTGGCCCAAAACAGAGAATGGCCCAAATGAAGCCCAAAAGCAGGAGCTGGAACCTTCTTAGGCCAACAAAGCAGTAGCACTTGCCAGAAACTAATTTGTCCATTTCAGCTGTTTCCCGCTCATTCATAGCGTAATTTCACACGATTTCGTTCTGCAATGGCGAGTTTTCTCCGGCGTCCATTCACAGTCTATCCGATCTTCACAGGTTTCTTCGACGAGGTTTTCTTCTTCGTCGAAATCAAACCTGGTCAAGTAGACACAGTCTAGAATTCGCCAGGAACATCGTCGTCGCAGAGTACGTACTTCATCAACCTTATTCTACTGTGAATCGTCATTGTTGCTTTTTTATTCGTGCTAAATTCCTCTACAATACTCTTAATTACTTGTCTGCTGTTCGAATTTCAAGTTCAATATTTGGAAATACTCAGGAGTTAGGTCGTTTTATGATGTTGATTCTAAATTAAACTTACACACTGAGTATTTTATGTTTCATTGTGAAGAAATATTGTGAATTTTGCTTTCATGAGCAGATTCTGAGCTAATACCTAATCAAATTAACCACTAATGATACTCTTTATAATTTTATGTAATTTTTAAATATGTTATTTTTTTAAAAATAAATATATAACTGATGTAGGAATGTAAACAAAAAAATAAGGAAGAAATCAGCAGTATTTTGGTCTTTGCTAGAATTTAAACGGAGACTTCATGTTGCTGGTGGGAGACGGTAGGTATACCATGGAAATAGTCGGAAGCTGGCTCAGGCACCACAGTTATAAAAATAATAATTAGGAGTACATAGTTTGGTTCTCCTACTTTAAATCTTGTTTATTCTTTTTGAGATAGAAAGAATATTATAGTGTGAGTAGTTAGTAACATCAACCTGCTCATAGATTTCACATTTCATTTATTAAGGAATAAATCATAGGCACATTATGCTCTACGTGTCAATTTTCTCCAATTTGTGTCTCAATCAATGGTGAGCACTAAAGACTAACGAGAGTTGTATATACAGTTTATTTGCCTCAAGTTATACCCCTGCCATCAAGTAGAGAACTTTATAGACTAGTAATGTAGTTATCTGAGTTTTCTTTATTCACTACTAATTCACAGTAGTTAATGAGAAGATATGATAAATTTTAAGGTATTTACTATGTTGAGTCGCGTACCCCAAGCGTAGTGGCTGAAGACATTAGGAAGTTACTTAGCACACTTTTTGGTCCTGCTAACTCGTAATATTTCCATCTCAAATTACTGATAAAAAATATTTCCATCTCAATTTGTTTGACTCACATTGTATGTCTCTCTTAAGGTGCATGTAAAGTGTGTAAGAACAAGTTTTGAGTACTATTGGTGTACGTGAATTTGGCAACTTTTTGTTCTGCATTATGTAACTTAGATTGGTTGACAAACTGCAGATACGCTCGTCTGTAAGCCAATAAAGGGAACGTTGTTAACTTGAAATAAAGTAGGCATCGATATAGAATTTTTGCATATATTTATATCAACTTAGTTCCATTTGAAATTTTTTATATTTCTTGTCAAAGCTATTAACTCCATTACTTTATATAGTTCTTGTCAAGAAGATCTCCAGAAACATATTTGAGAACAAATTCAAGTATTTCCTGTTTGTTCTTTAGTTCTGCCTTCTTTTTTCTAACGAAATAGGGAGAGATTGGGATGCTTAGTTGTCAGTGGTTTTTGCACGTTTTCTAATTTTGAGTGTTAACCATGGAAACACTGCAATTCATTACTGCTTACTATCTATTCCTAGTTGTCCTTTATTCACATCATACGGCTGAGATTTGCTCTAGCACAAATTACTTAAATTTGTTGTGATGGAGTATACGTGTTCACTTGTGGGAATGAAGGGTATTTGGTCTTTTAACACATGTATTTTTCCCCAATTTGAATTTCCATCGATGGGGTTGTTGTCGTCATTTTCACTTTCCCCTTTCCTTTCTTGACTGAAGAAGCAGACGCAAGTGGTTTGAGCTTGGGACTTCCATGTTGGAGGTCTCAAGTTCGAAACCCCTTGCCAGCGAAAGCAAGGGGTTTGCCTTCTAGGTCGAGCTCGTCGCACCAGGCTTGCCTAGTGCGGGTTACCTCTCCTATGTGGTTTGCGAGCTATTGCATAGGAGTGGGGGTTTTATCCTGTGCGCACCCAAAGGGTTAGGCTGCGGGTTTTCCTTGTCATAAAAAAAGAAGAAGCAGACGCAGATACTGAGGAATAGAGCATACCATTCTCATCCTCACCCCTTCACCCCCTCAAGTTGAACGGGCAAGGAGAGATCCCCAATTTGCCTAGAACGGTGTGGTGAGATGGCCCAGATAGGGCTTTGGGGAAGGGATCGGCGACCTGAGAAGAGGCCAGAACATAAGACAGAGAAATCAGGCGTGTGAGGAATTGTTTTCCGTATGAAGTGGCTATCGGAGTAAATCAGAGTCGGAGATCCCATATCAGCAAGAAGACAATTGAGCCATGTCATATCAGCCACAACTCTTCTCATGGAGCGATACTCAGCTCCCGCTGAGGATAAGGAAATGGAAACCTGTTCTTTTTGGCTTCCAAGAAACAGGTGAGCTTCCAAGAGTGACAAAAAATCAACTGACTGATCAACGCAAATCGACACACGATCCCCAATCTGCATCGCGAAAGCAACCAATTTGACAGAAAGATCACTTGCCAGAAACAGACCTTGACTGGGATTGTTCCTGAGGTATTGAAGAACTCGCAGTGCAGCTGAAAAATGAGATGTCCAGGGACCCTGTATATACTGAGAGAGATGCTGCACTGCATAGCAAATATTTGGTCGACTATGAGTGAGGTAAATCAATTTGCCAGTAAATCGTCCATAACAAGTAGGATCTATCAAATTATCTCCATAATGAGCTTGTAATTTTGTTGTAGGATCAAGAGGTGAAGAAACAAGTGGCAGATGGGAGCAATCATATTCGGAAAGGAGCTCCAAAGTGTACTTCTGCCGAGTAATAATGAGACCATGAGGCTGCCTTAAAATCTCAAGTCCCAAAAAAATAATGTAAGTCCCCAAGATCCTTGATTTTAATTCAGTATCAAGGAATGTTTTGAGTAGAGTGAGTTCATCTGAGTTGTTACCGGTCAAAATAATGTCTCATCCACATAAACAACAACTTAAGAAATTGAATCATCATCCTTTAAAAAAAATAAGGACTAATCATTTATAGAGGAAATAAATCCCTTGAAATTGAGAGCAGAAGTAAGCTTAGAATACCATTGGCATGAATCATGTCTTGAATCATAGAGAGATTTCCCAAGCTTTCAAACATGATTAGGACTACGAGAAGACATTCCGGGGGAAACCTCATATAGACCTCTTCTTGTAATTTACCATGTAAAAATGCATTATTAACATCCAATCGTGATAAAGGCCAACCTCTTTTGACTGCTATAGATAAAATGCATCTTATGGTGGTCATCTTCACAATTGGGGAGAAGCTTTCATTGAAATCCACACATTCTCTTTGGATATCATCCCTAACAACAAGTTTTGCCTTTAATCTTTCAAGACTCTCATCATACCTTTGCTTTTTTTTTTTTTGAACACCCACTTACAAGGGGAGTATTTTTTCCCTTGAGGTAGTTGAACTACTTCCAAGTCTTGTTAAGCCTCCAAGGCTTCAAGTTCACATGCCATAGCCTGCTGCCACCCAGGGTGCGTAGCAACTTGTGCATATGTAGATGGTTCAGCCATAGTAGAAACAAAATTAAGAACTTTTTGATTAACTGAAGAAAGTGTTGAAAAAGGGTACGCAGGAGGAGTGATAAAAGATGTAAAACAAGATTAAGATTAATAAGAAAAACTACATTGCACATATAGTCAGATAAATAAGTAGGCTGTTTGTGCTCTCTACTGAATGGTAGAAATAGGAGATGAACGGAAAAGGGTCAAAATTGCCCCTGAACTATGTGAAATAGACCACTTATACCCTCCATTACATTTTGGGATCAAAAATACCCCCGCAGTTATCCGAGGAGACCACAAATACCCTCAAGAGTTAACACTCCAATTTTTTAGTGACGTGGCAAGCCACATGGGACTAATCCCTCCACCTAAGCATTGCCAACTAAGATTCACTACAAAAGAACTTGACTTTTAGTGGCGACAAAGTCGCCACAAAATCCCAAAATATTGCCACTAAAGGTTATGAGTGATTTTTAGTGGCGACTAAGGCTCCAACAACCATTCGCTAGTAAAACCTATTTTTTCAACAAAAAATATGATAATTAATTTTCAATTGCGACCTAGTTTTCTAAAATAAATAACTTGCAATATCCATATTAAAAACATCCAATATTATTACGAAAAATAATCAAAATTACTTCTCGATTCAAATCTCCTACTATATATATATATAATGCATCATTGTACATTTTATACATTTACATATGACATAAAAATAAAACATATAGTGTCTTCAAACTCCTACTTAATCGATATCATATTTGGTTTTTTAAAAACAATGAAGAAAAAAACACAAAATTAGAATTTAATGTTAAAACTTTTAGTGACAATTTTCTGGGCTTTTGTGGCGACTGTTGTTGCCCGCTAAAGGTGTAGTTCTTTTGTAGTGAATCCTAGTTGACAATGCTTAGGTGGAAGGATTAGTCCCACGTGGCTTGCCACGTTAACAAAAATTTGGGGTGTTAACTCTTGAGGGTATTTGTGGTCTCTTACGATAACAGCAGGGGCATTTTTTACCCCAAAATGTAACGAAGGGTATAAATGGTCTATTTCATATAGTTCGGGGGCAATTTTGACCCTTTTCCGGGAGATGAATGTTTGTGAATAAATTCAGAGGATGAGCTAATGAGCTCCTTAATTCTATTGCCTAGTCTATAACAAATTAACCAACTCTAGTGGACCCTTTATTATCTATTCCTAGCTGTCCTTTATTCTCATCATACGACTGAGATTTGCTCCAACTCAAATTGCACAAATTTGCTGAGATGAGTGCACGTGTTCTCTTGTGGGGATAAAGGGTATGTGGTCTGTACACATGTATTTTTCCCCAATTTGAATTTCCCTCGATGATGTCCTCATCATCTTCACTTTCCCCTTCCCTTTCTAGACAAAAGAAGCAGATGCAGATACTGAGGAATCGAGCATGCCATTCTCAACAGCTTACTGGAAATTACTGTTCTTATTCTTCCAGATGAAACTTAGGCATTTGGTTATATTAGTTATTTAGCCTTTGTTTTTTTCATCTGAAGCAATATATAGGTCATACCTCTAGAGTTCACAGTTTACTGGAAATTCCTGTTCTTATTCTTCCGGATGAAACATAGGCATTTGGTTATATTAGTTATTTAGCCTTTTTTTTCATCTGAAGCAATATATAGGTCATACCTCTTGAGTTCATTGACAAATATGCCTACTTATTTTGCTGGTCAGTTAATGGATCTGTGGATAGACTAACTTTTTCTTGAACATTGATTCTTCAGGTCATTGTTTATTCACCTGCAAGAATTGCAACTCAACAAGGCTCTGGAAAGGTTGGGAAGTGGAAAACAAATTTCTTGTCTACACAGAAGTACCCATCACTCTTTACCTTTTCATGATAAAACATTTATATTTTATTCTCTGAGAACACTTTGGATATTTAAGTATTATCGATGCAACAAATCCTTGGAACTTGTATTTCTCTATGCGAGAACTTTTTCCCTAAGTGTTGGTACTCTCGTAAGCATTTTTTTCAGCATGCCCAGCATCTCAGGTCTCTAAAACAGTGCAATTTCAAAAACTGCCTCTGTTTTGCCGATGTAGATATTTTGTTTCTGATACTATTTTTAATTAATAGAACTGTAGCCAAGTATCTGTTTGATCGCATCTTTTAGGTGGGAAAATCCATTGATTGGATGGACATCCACAGGAGACCCTTTATCATACGTTGGTGAGGCAGGGTTATCGTTTGATAGTGTAGACGCAACAAATGCATTTGCTGAGAAACATGGTTGGGAGTACATTGTATGACTGTAAGTCCTTTTGAACGCTACACTGTCCAATTTTCTTGTTTCCTTTATAAATATATTGCATCAGAGATCTTATTGTGCTTTTAGACAATCTGTTGTTATTTCCCTGTAACAGACATGTGGGATTAGAAAAGGTTTTGGACTTGCATTGCATGCTTCCAAGATTGTGATGTAGAAAGAGTACCAGAATATGGATAGTACTTCTCTTAAGAGTTTCTTCAAGAGTTCTTGAGGTATTTATTAGTTAAATTAGTGAAAGAGAAAACCGTGATGAAAGATATCAAGTTGATCAGATTTCTAGAGAAGAAATCGAAAGAGAGCCAGCCCGGACTTATCTTCTGGAATGACTAATAACTTTAATGCTGAAGTACTGATTTCATAGAGTTTGGCTTCATTAGAACTTGAATGTCAAATTGATTTCGTTCTAATTGTTACTACATGATACATTAGCTTGACTATGTTCCAAGGTCAATTTTGTTGGTCTTGTTTGGAGTCTGATATACAGAGCCTCGTTTAACATTGACATTATAAGCAGGCATTGTCACTACATAATACACTAGCTCAACTATGTACCCCAAGGCCAATTTTGTTGGTTGTGTTTGCAGTCTAATGTACAGAGCTTTGTTTAACATTCACCTTATACACAGGCACACATCACCATAGAATCCCTTCTATCATTCAAGCTTCTAAAATGAATGGATGAGCGCTTCTGGATTATCAACAGTGAGTTGTCGAATGGTCACTCAAGCTTCTAAGATATATGGTCTGGAAGGTGAGTGGTTTATATTCAAAACCATTTCAACTCACTTCTAAGTAGTTTTCTAGAAATTGTTAATTTATAAGATATTTGTATGAATTTGAGTGATTTTATTGGAACAAAAAAAATATAAATGACTTTATTAGGTAATTTCATTAAGTTGAGTGACCATGAGGAACTAACTCCAAAAATTAGATAAATGACTTTACTCAACTCTACTAACCGACTATCCTTCAAAACATTTGTCATTTTTTACTTCCACAAGCTCCACTATAAGCGGGCGGGATGGTATACCAAATCTTCTCAAGAGGTACCCCCAGAATTTTAACTGGTTAGTAGCTCCTAATTGTGGGTGGCTTAACTATAGTTGCTTGGAGAGCTTAAAAAAGAGGACCAACCACTGGACATTGCAAAAAAAAAGGACTGCTGTACACCACCTGGCTATTACACATGAAGCACCTGCGGCATAAATTACACCCTCTTTTCTGTAGGTATCGTGTGTGAGATATGCGTCATGGGCCAGCAGCCACATAAAACAGCCAACAGCCACATAAAACAGTTAAAACAGTTTAACTTCGTACGGGATTTAGACTTCCAGATATTTTTTTCATCCAATTGGGAAAGCCCTATACCCCCATCCCCATCGTATCCTCTTTCGATAGGAAAGAAGAGGCCTTTTCCCTATCTCGGGGCCCAACCGCTGGAGGAAGGGGCTTCATTTATTTGGAAGCAGTCCCCTCCACTACCATCTCTCCTCCACCCACCACACACACACAATGTACCAATATATTTTTTAGTTTATTTATCTTTTTTAGTTTATTTCGAAACATTAAAGAATATTTCTTTTTTTTTATCAGCTTTTAAATTTAACATTCACATGATAGGTTTAAGACCATAAGATTAAAAAATATTTTGATATATATATATATCTTTAGTTTAAGACCATAGAAAAATAAAGTTTTTTTTATCAAAAATAAAAAAATAACTTTGAATCTTAGATAGAAAAAAAATAAAAATAATTAAAAGTTAAGCCTTTGATTTATTTTTAACTTTAGGTCACTAATTAGTTTGAGCCGTTGCGTTTACATAGAAGTTCCATTCTACCGTCCCTTCCATGTAATGTAGTCGTGAGAGACCCCACCTCCCAATCTTTCCAGCGATCCTGAGAGATGCCACCTCCAAATCTTCCAAGAAAACCACAATTCGAGTCTCCAAACTTCTTGTCAACTTTTTCTCTGACAATGTCGTTACATTAACTTTAGAATATTTAAAGATGAATCAATCTATCTACAGTTAAATAAGTCAGATTTTACCAAATTAAATCTATTATAGGAAGTTGATTACGTATAGTCAAAGAAGTTTCATACACCATTATTAAATCCAAGACTACCCTTAAAATAAAGCATTCTCAATCATACTTGTTCTTGAAGTGGAGTTTTATACGTGTCTAGCTAGATACAGTGAATTTTATGTCTATCAACTCTATTTCTGGTTAGAGTCAAATCAAAATCATATGCAGACAACTTCAAATGGAAGGGTCCCACTCAACTCTATTTTTGGTGGCAACTTCAAAAATCAAATGCCACCGCTGCCTTCAAGAGATGCTAGAAACTTCTGCTAGATGGAGATCCTTTTATCATTGGAATTCTAACACGTATTCGGCCAATAATATTCTTTTGCCATCAAATAATCATCCTCCAATAAGAAAAACATATTACATTAACTATGCATTCGAAACTTTAGTCTGTTGTCTGTTTTGTTTATTGATGTGCTAACCTAGTAAAATATGCATATGCACAGACGGAGAACAAAAAGAAAGAAGACGCATACACTTGACAATTGACACATAGCTTTATACTCTTAAGCTGGAAATAACTATTAAACATAATTGAACTACCCTAATTTTCCTACTTTCTATATGCTGCTACTATATTGCATAAGTTTTTAACCGGCATTTTACAACATTTAAACTAGTTAAACTGTATATACAATTGACAAAAAAACTGTTTAAATATTGGAAGCAGCTGATTCGGGAGCATCATCATCTGTGGTATGGAACCTCCACTCAAAGACATAATCTTTGGACTGGCAAGCTAACTTCACAGCATTGCAGAAAGCTTTGACTGAATTCTTTTTCCCTTGTGCAGCTCCCCATTCTATCTTCACCCAGCAATTGAATCCATCAGATGACATTGGCACACTGCAAGATGAATCCAAGAACTCAAGTATCACTTCCCCACCAATTCTCTTGCATACATTCCCAACCATGTAGTCCAGCCAGCAACATTCAGGTTGACCCACCATCTCTTTGTATGCTGCATTTGTGAGCCTTACTTTGTTATTCGAGTCCGATATTACAGCTGGCAAAGCCTCTGCTTCAACTTCTTCCTCCACCTCCTCTGGTTTCTTCATAATTTTTTTGTTTGTTCCACCACCCTCTGGAGCTTCCTCCTCATTGATACACCCAATGGAAATACTTGACCCAACTGGGCGAACTGGCTGCGGGGTTATAACACCCGGGCCAGGGGTCTTAGGACCTTGCAATTGGGGCATGAAATCTAATTCTTCAGGGCAATCAGCTGCCAAATTCAAATCGATTCCTCTAATTTCCTCTCCAGAGTTTTTCTCTACTAGCATAGGAAGAGTAGTGGTAGTACAAGCCATAAGAGGGAGTGTTATGGAATTTGATGGAGTTGTAACAGAGGTACCCAAACCACATTTAAGAGGGAGAAGATTTGGGATTAAAGTGAACTGGGGAACCACATTTGGTCTATAAGAAGGAGAAGCAGCCATCACCTGATAAGTAGGAAATTGGCCAGCAGGAAAGTAATTAGCTCTGGCTCTTTTCATAGAAGGTGGACCAAGGGCAGTCCTTCCTCTCTTCCTAGTCCTTGTTGGCCTTGCTTGCAATTGAGGCCATACATTCCTCAAGAAAGGAGACTTTTGAATATTTGGGGGCAATCCAGTAGGATTATCCTCAGAAACAGGACTAGTTGGAGCCTCAGGCTTTGGTGCTATTGGCCTGTATCTAGCCATGATCTCAGCTGTTTTTGAGGTTGAAGGGTAAGGATTCAAAGTCTGCATCATTTTTTTTTTTTTTGAATAAAAAAGAACCCTTTTCCTCTTAACAACAACCAAAAAAAAAAGAACCAAATTCAGAAAAATAGAGAGGAGAGTTGAGGGAAAATTAGTGGGACTAGAGTAAGAGGTATAAGAAGGGTGATATAAGCCAATAAGAAAAGGGCAAAACATGAAAGAAGAGAACAGGTTGAAATGACACTTGGAAACATACGGTGGGTACGTGTTTGAGCTACTTTAAAACAAAAAAGGACATGTGGGATTACAAGAGAGTTTTGAACTTGCATGCATGCTTTACACTTATCACACCCTAAGCCTTACTCCTAGCTGTCTCTCCCTTCGGTTATGAATGAAAAAGTAGTATCAAAAAAGAAAAGACACCTCCTTAAAATCTTCACTCATTACTAATTACCCATTTTGCTTTTTTATCATATTTGAAGGATGAATTTATGTACTATTAATTAAAAAAGCATAACGGATATGAAAAAAGAATAAGTTTTGTTTTTTTTGAGTTAATAAGTTGGGGTGAGGCAGTGGGCTGCTTACCAATCAGACGGTGGGCGCTCATCTCATTGCACCGAAGAGAAAGGGCCTTTTGTGGGACAACGCGTGTTGACGTGGATCTCATGCATGCCTACACCTATCAGAATTTTGTTCTTTTTGGTTCCCTCTCTGCCTCTTGAAAAAAAAGAAAGAGGTTCAATGTACTGAAATCTTTTGCCTTACCAAGACTTTTAATTAGTTTTTAGAAAATTACATAGATTGTGAATTCGAAGGTAAAAAAATGAAAAGAAAAGTAAATAAGCTATCTATTTTTATGAAAAGAAAGAAGATGTTTGTAAGTTATTTGAGTAAGTTACTTTAAAAGGTTGCTTGCAAAGCAACTTATGAGTTGTGTGTAAACTATTTCACAAAGTTGTTTGTAAACTACATGAAAATTATTTGTGAACTTTTTTTTCAGGAAGTTGTTTAGTAAGTTACTAGTTATTTAGTTTCTTCTTCAGAAAACTAGGGAAGTACGAAATAAATCTTCATAGTCACATTATTCGCTTTTTAAGGTTGTTAACGATTTATATTCTTACACTTCATTTGATACGACAGGCTGGTTAAATTAGTACTCACATATAGGTTAACCAATAAATTAGAAAATATATGTGTAAAGAAATTATGTGTTTATAAGTAAAGCAGCATTAACACATGTCAATTGTCATGTTATTATTTTAAAAGGTGTCATTAAAAGATAGAGTAATATGTAAAGGTTAAGACTAAAGAATTATAAACAAAAGGTGTGCGTTAACATGTTAATGAAATCGAGAAAACAAGAGTTAGAAATTGTGGTCAGTAAGTTATACCAGATGAAAAAAAGCCTCTGGTTCCGACTTCGGTCTTTTTCTATGGGTTTTTTTGTAGTCTTTTTAATTCGTTTAAAAGATAATTATTTTAATTTTTTTTCTTAATTTCAATATTTTATGTGACATATTATGATCATAATATTCATTTTTTAAAGAATATTATATATATTTAATTTAAAACTATAAAATTTAAAGAATTTAAATTTAATGCGTAGTAAAAAAGAAATAAATTAAAATATGTGTTTGTTTCGAAATGTTTTTGCTATTGCTGAATAAAAGTTTGCTGTGATTGGAGGAGATTACTCCAGGATGTTACATGTGGCACCTCATAGGAAAAAGCTAAGTTCCTTTTTAATAATACTCACTTGATTACTTGTAAAGCGTGCCTTCGTGATATTCCTTTTAGTGCTATCATTTTACGATTTTGGTGTAATACATTTTGAATTACGGTCATATACTATGCTTGTTTTTTTTGGAAATCGCACGGCTCTCATCTTTTCAATTTCTTGATTATTGAACTTATAATGTTAAAATTGAGAGTAAGAAGTTTTTATCATCTGAGTAAGTTTCCCTTGTTTATAATACACTTTATCTATATTGATTGTTTTTTTTTTTTTTTCACCTTTTGAGATTGATTTAAAATAATATTATTATTATAAATAATTAATATTTTAGATGAACGGTTAGTATAATTTAAACTCTTATTCAAATTAGTATGATGACAAAAGAAAATATATATTTTATTTGAACTTAATATTTCCTCACTCGATGTTGGTTCATTGATTTGACTTTAATAAATTCAATGTCTGCCACGCCTTATTCTACGTAGATAATACGATATATTCAGAATCAAAACGAAAAATAAAATGCATTGTTTTTTCTTTTTGGAAGAATTAATAATATTCACTTTATCCTGTAATTTGAATCTAAAAGTTATCGATTAATAATGAAAATGCTTAATATAAGATTCCTTGTTGTGAACCTTGATTTGGAGATAACTTAAGATCAAATTTATCGAGTTTAATTGGGAATTTTTTGGAGCACGTCCATACTTGTTATATACATACAGACATTTGTAATTAAAAAATATATTATTAAGTGACTTAAAATATTTATAGATAAATTTCTTGAAAATAAGAATTTTCAATCTTATAAATTATCTGCTAATAAAAATAAATTACCTATTACTTTAAAAATAATTTCAGTAAGTTCGGATTTTCACGTATTATTGGTTGATCACAATTTTTTGATTTTTTTTTATAAATAAATTTCTCAAAATTGAGAAAAATAATGTTTCTCCTTACTTCCAACACACCTTATCTTCACCCTACCCAGTAACCTCCGTCCCTACCACCCCACACCCCTACCAACTTCACATAATATTTATCTATATTATATACAAATATTTTCAAGATGATATTTTTTATTTACATAAAATAAAAAAACAAAAAATTCACTTATTTTAGTGAAAAACATTTTTCTCAACATTCTTATGAATTATGATTATGATGATATATACGAAAATGCTTTCACTAAATTAAAGTAACGGGACTTCTGCTTAAGGAGCGGAGACGACCCAAAATGAGTTTTCTTTCTTTGTTATTATATATTAACCACGAGTACCCCCATTAATTTCAATTTATTTGTGCTATTTTTTTTTCTTCAGTTTAAAAAACATATTTCATTTCTTTTAGCAGCTCTTAACTTCCGACTTTCCTTAAGATCATAAGATTAAAAAGTATTTAGTATATTTTATGTGTTTTAATTTAAGATCATAATATTCAAAAGTCTTTCTATATTTTCTTAAACTTTGTGTCGAGTAAAAATTTGTTATCCCATGGGATAATGCATTGAATAAGGATCCTGGATTCCGTATATCAGGGATGAAATAATCCCATTTAACCTTTCCAGAGAATTTTGAGGATTTTAACATTAAAACTAGTCTTTAGTAAGGGTTACAGCACAAGATACTAAAGCACAGGGCTTTTTTCATACATGAGGAGGATGAGTTGTTTTGGTATCAGATACAATTAAATTCATATCTTTCACTCTTTAAAACTAAGGCCAAAAATATTTGTAACGGCAATATACTCAATTAGTTTCATATCAGTATGTTTAATTATAACAATACAAATGTAACGTTCATTCTTTTGCTACAACGAAAAAAAGTCAATATTGTCAATGCATGAAGTAGCGCCAATTTTCAACTTTCTCTAAAACCAATCTCTAAGTTTCAATCATGTCTAGTGGCAACAATGGAGCTAAAAAGGCTGAAGAATTACATCCTCATCCAGTTATGGAACAACTTAAGAATGTACAATACTGTGTTAATAGCCCACCACCTTGGGGTACGTGCAAATTTAAAAGTTACGCGATTTAAGTTATATACAGTGACCAGTTATATTGTTTCCTCTTTCAATTATTGTTTATAAGGATTTGAACTAAGATTATGATAAATAATATGATAATGCAGGGGAAGCATTGTTATTGGGGTTTCAGCATTACATATTGAGTCTTGGTAATATTGTCTTATTTCCAAGTATCATAGTTCCTCAAATGGGTGGTGGCAATGTAAGAATTTCTTTCTACTTCAAAAACTCAAATTTTCAAATTTTAAGTTTCAACTTCAAAATCTATAGTCAAACATATATAAAAAAATTTTCCCCCTTTTGCCACTAGATAATTGATCCTGTAGATTACTATCCTTTTATTGATTCAACTGATTTTCAGCCAGTTTTTGAATTGTAGGATGAGAAGGCAAAAATAGTACAGACATTGCTTTTTACTTCAGGAGTGAATACATTACTCCAATCCTTATTTGGGACCAGATTGCCATTGGTAATGGGAGGTTCATATGCATACTTGATACCAATGATCTCAATTATCCAGGCTAATAAGTTCTCAGTTCTTCAGGATCCTGAGCTGGTAATGTAACATTAGTCCCTCTCTTTTTTTCTTTTTTTTTGAGAGGGGTCCGAGGCAAGGGGTGTATCCAAGATTTAAACTTGATAGATTCAATCTTAAAGTTTTTGTTGTTTAAAAGTGTCGGAGCTAAAGGGGTGGAAAGGGGTTCATCCGAATTCCCTTAACTGAAAAATTACACTATATATAAAAAGGTAAATTCTTTTACGTATGTATAATAGATGATGAACTCCTTGGTGAAAATCCTGCCTTTGTCATTCTATCACTGAATCATTGCACTCCTGAAATTATGAGTTTTGAGTTTAATATTTGTTGCAATTTTTCGCCGCGTGTTGAAATTAGAGGGTTGAACTCAGTGAACCAGGCACCATTTACCTATGGTTGCTTGTATGGACTGTGAGTTGGTTTGTGTTGGTGGGGATGCAGGTTGTCAATTGAGTTGATGCTTCTTGAATTTGTTTTCATGATTGATATCCACAGAGGTTTATGCATACAATGAGGAGCATACAGGGCGCTCTTATTGTTACTTCTAGTTTCCAAATTCTACTGGGCTTCCTTGGCCTGTGGAGAAATGTTGTAAGGTGTGTGCTAATATGATCTTCTTCTTTTTTCCAGTCTTGACTCTTGAGCATGTGGCATCAACTTTACATCGTCTTCTTTTTTTGCTGCATAATTCTGTATTTCTTAATTTGATTCTATAATTTAGGTTACTTAGCCCTCTATCTGTGGCACCACTTGTTACCTTTACTGGACTAGGGCTCTACCATCTTGGCTTTCCATTGGTGAGAACTCTAATCCTAGATTTTCTCATAAATATGGTTTGATTTAAAATATGCTCTCTGTAAAGATGAGAATCTCAGATTGCTTGAAACAACAATAACAGCCACGCCTCAGTCACAATCAAGTTGAGGTCACTATCAGATTGCTGAAGACATGCTCACTAGTTATCTTTTGTAACCTTTGTTTTGTAGATTGCAGAATGTATTGAAGTTGGGATACCACATTTAATTTTCATGGTTGTCATCACACAGGCAAGTAGTTTGGATTGTACCTTGTTACTAATTCATGAGGTTGTTGAAGAGGATATATTCTGTATTCTCTTTGCCATCAGACTATCCTTTTTTGTGCATTGTGCTTAACTTTCTCCTAACTTATAGATTTCTCATTTGACATGTTGCAGCAAAAGTATTTCATATCGTTTATCCTATTCCTACTCACACTTGATTCCCTGAATGTAACAATGTTCTTGCAGTATCTACCAACATATCTCAAATTAAAGAGGCCCATATGTGACCGGTTTGCAATGCTCTTCTCTATAGCAATTGTATGGTTTTATGCAGCAATCTTGACCTGGAGTGGTGCATACAAGAATGAAAATGAAGCAAATTGCCGCACTGATAGCTCTGGACTCATTGCTGGATCTCCTTGGTGAGATTTCTCTTTATGTGCACATCACCAAGTGGCAATTCCTATCTCTTTATCATGTCTCTCAGGAGTGTGTCTTATGCTGCAACTTGCGTTACTTTATGCAGGATCGACCTGCCATATCTATTCCTATGGGGGGTTCCAACTTTCAAATTTGGAGATGCTTTTACCATGATGATCGCTTCTTTTGTTGCTTCTGTGGAGGTCTGTTCTCTGAACCTCTAATTATCTGTTCACTGTTGATATATAACGCATAGTCTTCGTAGTTAATGCTGTGAAAAAAAATTTGGCTGCTAGAAATAAGTTCTGAATTGTTTTGGTACATTGGTCTTTCATTTGGATAGTGAAAATTACTCTTGAATTTACTTTGAGTACTTATGTTGTGTAGTCAACTGGTGTATTTCATGCATCAGCGAGATATGGAAGCGCTACACCAGTGCCACCTTCTGTCATTAGCCGGGGTGTTGGCTGGCTGGTGAGACCAAATATTCTCTTCTATTCTCGTTGTATCAAGTTTCATTTACCTAATGAGTTTTAATTCGTCGCAGGGGATTGGGACTATGCTAAATGCCGTTTTTGGTGGTGTCACTGGTTGCGCTGCTACAGCGTAACAATCTCCTATCTTTTTAATATGAATTCCCTCATACTATGACTTAGGCAATTAACTATGATTCACAGGGAAAACGCTGGTCTATTGGCAATGACAAGAGTTGGAAGCCGAAGAGTTGTGCAAATATCTGCTGGTTTTATGATTTTCTTCTCCATCTTAGGTATGCTAATCCTAATGTATCTATTGATTCAAAGACAAGAATCCATTACTTGATGGAGAAGGACTGACTAATTTTGTAAAATTAGACGCTTTTCGTCTGTATGCTATCTACTGTGATGTATCAATTTAATTCGTGACATGCTTTATTGTTTGCTAGGAAAATTTGGAGCACTCTTTGCTTCAATACCTGCATCAATCATGGCTGCAATGTATTGTATCTTCTTTGGATACATGTGTATGTATCACTTACATTTTTACTATTTTGTTAATGCAACCTTTTTTTCCAAATGACATTTAGTCCATTGTCCCGAGACCTCACTCGTGGGATTACATAGGGTATGTTGTCGTTGTTGTTGACATTTGATCCATTGGTTGAATTGCAGCATCAGCTGGTCTTGGATTTCTCCAATTCTGTAACCTTAACAGCTTTAGAACAAACTTCATATTGGGATTTTCTCTTTTTCTGGGATTTTCCTTACCACAATACTTCAGAGAGCATCACATGTATTCTGTATCTGGTCCTCTTCATACAAATTCAAGATGGGTAATCACAAATTTTCATCCACTAAACTCTGTTATTTTCAGAATTATCGTTACAAACTAAATTCGTACTAATGTTGTTCTTTTTGAACTGCAGTTCAATGACACAATGTCTGTCATCTTCATGTCACACGCCACGATAGCTGCTGCAGTTGCTGTATTTTTGGATAGGACTCTTCCATTTAGTAACGATGAAGCTCGAAAAGACAGTGGCTTGCATTGGTGGGACAAGTTTGTGGTATATACTAAAGATGTTAGAAGTGATGAGTTTTATAAATTACCATGCCAACTTAATAGGTTCTTCCCACCTTATTAGTCAAAAAAGAAATATCATCACTATTTTGTAAGGGGCTTGTTTCCTTCATAAATTCACTCGAGTTCGAGTTTTGTTCTTTTATTCCTTTAGAATAGCATATGTCATTCTGTTGACATCCTAGAAATCTTGCTATTATTGAATGTCAGGTGTATCTTCAACGGATCCTCAAATGTCATTGTACGAATTTTTTTCCCTACCCTTCCTTAGGAGCTCCCACTTTTTTTACTCCTCGTTGACTCGAATTCATAGACTTATAATTGGAGGTGGGAGGCCCCCCTCTTGTCCATCCATGTCGAAGATGTTCTTTGTATTACAACAAAAATTGTGCCTTATGCCAAAAACAACATAGCACAAAATAATGCTTCTTGAGTCACTTGTTTGGTTACTTGGCTAATGATTATCAAAGAGGATTTCAATGCCAAAAACAGAGAATAAAGCCGTGAAAAATGCTTAATTACAGGTGAATTTATTGATTGATTTTGATTGATGAAAGGAGATAACATTTTGGTCAATCAGTTATGGATTCTTCTCCTAGAAAGTCACTCAATCTATTTAATTACTTTTTTCAATTAAATTTGTTAACATGAAAGTTTTGTTTTAAACCCAAAATTTTAAGAAATAAAAATATATTTCTTTCAGATCCTTGCTGAAGTCTTCACCACCTTTAGCAATTGAAGCTACTTCACGTAATAACCATGAGTAATTACTTGCAGGAGCATTAAGCATGCCATAAAGTTATTAAAGCAATCGCTTGGAGTTTTGATATTTTTAGGGCATAGATATTTTTGATTTATTTTTTAAAATTCAAGCACTAAAACTAATCAATACTATTTTAATATTATTTTATCAACTTATCAAATTCAGCGCAACACTATTTCGATATCATTATTATATAAACTTTTCAAATTTTTGAGTAGATTTTATTATTCTAACTTTATAGTTTATATTTTTCATTGAAATCATTATTTGCATTCTTACTTCATAATGTCCGAGTATATCATATCTCTTTAGACCTTATTTGTAGGATTACACTAAGTAGGGTTGTACATGGTTATGGTTAAAAAGCCAAATCGAACCAAACCGATATAAAAAATTGATATTTGGTTTGGTTTGAAAACTGATACTATTTGGTTTGATTTTGGTTTTACTAAAAAACAACCAAATTGAACTGATAAATTAGATATATAATTTTTATAATTATTTATATATTATTCATAAATAAAATATAAATATTTTGTTAAAGTTTAATTAACTTAAGTCTTTAACTTTAGCATTTGCTTAAGCCCAACACTTAAACAAATATAACAAGGGAATTATTTTTAAATGTCAATATTTTGACATTTAATAGGATCCAATGTTAACACTTTCAATATTTAGTAAAAATGTCAATTTTAATTTATTATGTATCTTATTTAAGTTTTTATTATTTGTTTTAATTGAAAGAATACAATTGTTAAATAATAAAAAGGAGAAATGGGGAGAGACATTTTTTAAAAAGGAACAATTGCTTAAAAGTCTCAGCAGTTACAAAATTTCAAAATTAAATACTAATCGGTCTTCTCCATAGCTGATGAGTTCTATCATTATCGATTTTCAATATATTTTGATTGAAATCTTTTTTTTTTTTTTTTCTGTTTGTTGAGAATTATTTTAACGAAATAGTACAATAAAATCATTGACAAACAACTATGGAGAGGGATTTTTTTATTGGGAGTTCGATCAAATTGGTTGAATACAAATTGGACCAGGTATTAGTCAATTGCTTCATCCTTAATCTTTTTCTAAGTGATTATAAAATTTTGATATGAAAGTTTGTAAATAATTGTAAACTTTATTTGTTTTCATTGTAAATTGTATGTACTATGAACAACGTAGGAAAAATTAGTTTTGGTGGATTTGTTTAATTTTTTGTGGTTGTTGATTACGAAAAATGTTAATGGATTGTTTGAAGATTTTTTGATCGGCCGCTTGTTTTTAATGGTTCAATATTTATTTTGTATACATATATGTTGGCAGATTTCATTGAAATATGCATAATACAGTTTTGTTCAAATTTGTTTTTAATGTTTCAATATTTGTTTTTACTTGATGCAAGGACTATTGTAAATATATACATTTTTAACTTGGATACAAAAAACTGTTAACATCTATAATTTTGTATTTGTTAATGACTTGGGTATTTAATTTTTTTTTAGTTTGAATACAAAGAAAATATGGGGAGTATTTGTTTTTTAACAAATAGTAATGCCATTTGATTTTTTTCTAAGTTAAAGTAAAGATACATATTAAATGTATTCATTGTATTCATGCACTTTTGTTTCATTGTTTTGTATTCATTACTCCATATTTGATGTATTCATTAAATCATAATAATTACTGTATATGTCAAGTTTGATTTATAAGTTACATTATTGTATAAATTTGTTTTTATGTGATGTGGTTTATAAGTTACATTATGGCATAATTTGTATATTTATATGCTTGCCAAGTTAAATATTTTTTCTTACAAATCTAATTTACTCAGGAAAATGCTTTTGCCATTAACTTGGATAACAAGAGCTTGCCGAGTACTACATTCAAGTTCTAGTGCCATACAACACCTGAGAATTTGACCTTGACCAACACATATTCTCATTCTCATATAGTGACCGAAACATGTTTTCTCACAAAACAAATTATATTGTTGCTCAGTAAGATGCTTAGTCAACTGAATTTTAATGTGTATTCCTTTTAAATAATTAGTGATACTAGTTCAGATTGTATTCATTCTTTATTATTTGATTGTTTTGTATTCATTAGTTTTAGCTGTGTTGTTGTGCTCTATAAGTTACTTTTTTACATGTCTTTGTATTCATTATGCTTTGTGTACAAAGTGAGATTAAAATACAAAATGCTATTGAAATACAAAGTGAGCACAAAAAATACAAAATTTGTTGGCATATAGTTAGAATGAATACAAAATAATTAAAAAATATAAAATTGTATGAAGCCTAATTTAGAATAGCATACAAAATTCTGTAAAACTATTTATCTATATTCCTAAAATATAATACAAAATTAAACATATACATAGTTTGAAATGAATACCACCTACAAAATAAATACAAGTTACACCTAAAAAACTCAAATTTTAGCAAGATACCACATGAATTTTGTAATGAATACAAAATGCAACAGACAATAAAAATAGTAGAATACAATTTGATAGTTTAGATACAAATGCAACATGCCATAAAGTTGTTTTTCATCGCTCTGATCTTCAACAATTATATCAACTTTCATTACCTGTACCGGCCACTCTCAATCAAATCAAAGTGAATTCTATGAATTCTCTTTGATGTCCTTTCACCGGAATACACATATGTATGAATGAAATACAATATGGCGAACTTAAGAGCATCGTCTTCATTGTCTGCCCAAACTTTTTTTGTGAATTTGCTCATTAAGTCTGATTTACGGATAAATTCATTACCACCTAAGTACTGAACAATCAACCTATTAGGTTCTTTAGTGTTGAACTTGAAATCATCTATGCCGCCAACACAATTTAATCCAGTAATCAGTGCAAACGTTCTAAGTGTAAACTTCAAATAGTTCCATTAACTCGGATAACAAGAGCCTGCCAAGTACTACATTCAAGTTCTAGTGCCATACAACACCTAAGAATTTGACCTTGACCAACACATAATCTCATTCTCATATAATGACCGAAACATATTTTCTCACAAAATAAATTATATTGTTGCTCAGTAAGATGCTTAGTCAACTGAGTTTTAATGTCATAGTTAACAAAGCAGTGAATGTGGGGTGCATCCTTGGGTAGATCTTTGCAGGCAAAAACATTTTCTTGAGTAAATTAGATTTGTAAGAAAAAATATTTAACTTGGCAAGCATATAAATATATAAATTATGCCATAATGTAACTTATAAACTACATCACATAAAAACAAATTTATACGATAATGTAACTTATAAATCAAATCTGACATATACAATAATTATTATGATTTAATGAATACACCAAATATGGAGTAATGAATACAAAACAATGAAACAAAAGTGCATGAATACAATGAATACATTTAATATGTATCTTTACTTTAACTTAGAAAAAAATCAAATGGCATTACTATTTGTTAAAAAACAAAACAAATGTATAAAGTTTATATGTATCTTTACTTTACTGGATACAAACAAGACTCCCACAATGTCCATAACTATAAAATGATACACAAAGCATAATGAATACAAAGACATGTAAAAAAGTAACTTATAGAGCACACAACACAACTAAAACTAATGAATACAAAACAATCAAATAATAAGGAATGAATACAATCTGAACTAGCATCACTAATTGTTTAAAAGGAATACAAATTAACAAGTTAATATGTATCTTACTTGATTGAATACAAACTAATTGTTTAATAGTATTCTTAAGGATTTACTTTATAAAACCTCTGTTGAAATTTAATTCATGCCACCTGCTTTATATAATGACAGTAAAAAATAATGTGATATTCTTCATGCTGCTTTGCTTTTAGCTTTTGCTATTAACAAAGCAAACAAAAATATCCCCAAAATACGTACTAACAAACGTGCACATTGTCCATAAACATTTGCAAATCTAATCAATATCAATACACATACTAAATGAATTTTGAATACAAAAAAAATATAGATAAAACTGCAGTCTAAAATAAAATTATTGAAAAAAATTGTTCTTTAACAACTTCAACTCAACATGCAAAAATAATTAAATACCTCTTCGTTTCCATCCTCTTTGACAACTATTCGTTCTTCGTTGTCTTTTTCAAGATCCCCACGAGTAGACGAAGATTCTACATTTCCGTTTTGAATTTGAGGAAGGTTTTGCATACCGATTGGGTCCTGTAAATGTTCTGATCGTCTCTCTTCCCTCATTTTAGCAGCAGATCCTACATTATCCGCTATTTCTTAAATAATAAATAGATTAAAGGATGGAAAATAGCTAGCAATTT